TCTGATGAGTCCTTGAAGGGTAACTTTCTGATGAGTCATTGAAGGGTAACTGTCTGATGAGTCATTGAAGGGTAACTGTCTGATCAGTCACTGAAAGGTAACTGTCTGATGAGTCATTGAAGGGTAACTGTCTGATGAGTCATTGAAGGGTAACTGTCTGATCAGTCACTGAAAGGTAACTGTCTGATGAGTCTTTGAAGGGTAACTGTCTGATGAGTCATTGAAGGGTAACTGTCTGATGAGTCATTCAGTGGTAACCATCCACTAACTGAGCTGATAGGAGACTTGAGATCACTCGTTCGGACACAGGCACGGTTCACCGAAATTGCCAGGCCTCCTCAGCGTGACCTAGTTTGAAAATGTGGAGGCGAGTCAGAACTAGGTCACAACGTGGGAGTCACATAATTAAACAGCCGATTGTCATCTCACTCCTATAAATAGCATTGTACTAGCGTAAGTGTTTAACATCCTGCAGAAATAAAGAAATATCCTTCCTTTAATACCAATTCGCTTTCAATGTGCACTTTACATTTTTCCATTTATTAAAATGTTCATTTAAATTACAATTGTTTTTTTGCTTTTTTGTTTTTTTACTTGAAAAACATTTCTGAAATTTAATAGGTCAGGGGAGGTGAGAAGAACAGTGACGGAAGTAAACAAAGTTTCAAAATGTCAGCAGCCTTCCTTGTGATAGTGATGCGAAACGTGTGACATGAGGATAGATCTAGATATCTAGGTCTAGAATCTAAATTAATATTTCATTTGGATTATCAATTTCAGTGCTTTCTAATGGAATACATGGCACTACTAGGATATGGTGTTCCCGATTTAGGCCTAGTGACAGGGAAATATAACCCAGAGAACATCTAGAATCTAGTTTTGACCCCAACGACGATTACTTCTGGTTCTAAGTCTAAACGATTACTTTTTGATTCGCGTGCCGATCTAGAGAGATAGCATTTCAAACCGGAATTGCAAAACATCAAATCGTGGTCAAATTCAGGGGGGGGCATGCCCCCCTGAAACACCCCATGTTTTTTTTCTTCTTTTTTTTAAGATAGGGGGGCAACCCCCCTTGCCTTGTGAAAAACAAGTGAAATTTTACTGCTCATTTTGTAGGCTAGATTTAGATCTAGGCCTAGGCTAGGCTACTGATAAAAAAACATAAAACATTGATACCGACTATTTAAATCAGTATCGATATTTCAGTAGGACTTTGAGTAGGACCACCATATCCAAGTAGATTCTAGTGCCGAATACATTGTAGATCTAGATCTACAGACTTGTTGAAAATGGGCAGATCCAGAATCTAGATCTAGATCTAGATCTCGATCTGGATTAAGACCCCAAAAAAACCCATCGCTATTTTCTCATTTGTCCAAAAGTTTAATTCCAACACCAGTGCCCTCAGCCTTAGCAAGAACTAGAATCTAGATCTATTCTATATCTAGAGTCTAGGTCTACATCGAGATCTACATTAACTACATACATATATAGAGAGAGAATCTAGATCTAGGCTATAATCTAGATCTAGATTGACCAGATAAAAAAGGGGGAAAATGCTGACAGCTGACACAGTCACTGCTATACAGCATAGATCTACATACTTTGGTGTTGTTGAAATGGCAAAATACCTTTTGCCAACAAATCAATATGTGTAGATTCTACTGCTAGGAAAAATTCACAACTCATCCATTGGACAAATCATTTGGAAAACTTAGACAAGGTAGGCTAGATCTAAATCTAGATCTAGGCCTAGTGGTGGAACATATTTCATAAATGCACAGCAAATTTGAGAAAAAGTGAACTTAATAAAAACAAAGGTTTTGTTAAGAATTAAGTTAGATCTAGGCCTAATCAAGATCTAGAAATCTAGATCTAGATTCTAAATCTGGTTTACATTCTGAATCGGGTCATTCTAGTGAAAAATGTATTAAATTTCAATGGACTCAAGAAAGAAGTCTGTGAACTGATTGAATCAACGCCAGAAATGGAGAATTCAGTCAAAACAGAAGTCAAGTGCAGTCTTGTCTACATTGCTGGCAATGTCATAAGAAAAGACAAAGTCCTAAAGGAGGATTGTTTTTGTTACTTTAAAAAGTATGGGGAGTTTCCATCTTCTTTGAGTAGAGGAGGCCTACTTCAAGCTGGGGACCCAGCATGTCAGTGGACCATCTTTTGCTACATGATAGCCTTTCTGTCAGTGTGGGACAAGGTATGCAGAAACTCTTTGAGTGAAATATTTAGCCTATGGACATCTCACAGTACTGTGGTTTTGAAATGAGACAAAACAACTGCTTTGTCATGAGCAACATTTTGCTAAACAATTTCTGCAAGATTGGATATCCACCATCTGAGAAAGAACCTGAACAGAAAGTCCTAAAGCTGTCTTCATAAACAATGTAAGTTAAACATTTTTCATAATATTTACACTGTTATGTTTGTGAATGCATGTGTCATGTGTCTATCTATGTCTCTATGTGTGTATACAGGCTTACATGTAGACCTAGGTGTGTATTACCCATACTTGGCAATGTTTCTACTGTTAGGCCTATAAATTATTGCATGCTTGCATAATGAATGAGTATATTTTTTAAGCGCATTGAGCATGAATCTGGTTTTCCATGGATAAATATGTATGTGCTATAAAATATTATCTTTATTCTTCTTCTTTCTCTCATTATTTTCTGTGTCAATTGCCAATGGGAAGTGAAGCTCTTTTACCGCACATAGAACGAGAAATGAGACTAGAACAAGAGTCTAGATCTAGAAATCTAGTCATAAATCCAGTAATTAAGATAATATTTGTAGTTGTGTAATAAGCACAGTCTTAATTGATTTCCCTTTCGGTGATCTCATTGCGCTGCCGTCCTATTGTCTCGCGTAGGCTACTGTGACTTCGTTTTCAACTCGCCTCCACATTTTCAGACTACGGTCACGCTGAGGAGGCCTGATCGTTTCAGTAAGCCAGGGGCACAGGACAGTACACCCAGTCCCATCCCATCAAAACACTCGTTGACTTTGGTAGCAGGAGTTTTACGGCACTTGCAACACAATCAGATCATAATGTAAGTGCTGAAGATTATAGAAGTGTAATACAAGAGTAACAAACACAAAAAAGAAGGAGGGGAGAAAAGGACGTTAGATGGTCAATAGGAAAGAGGAGCAAACCACACCACAGCACCCGCCAGCCACCCACAAGAAAGGTTCAAACACACTGCTTTACAAACCAGACAATATATATGCCCTCTTTGCGTGTATGTGTGAATGAACACAGACTGATAGAGACAGAGGGAGAGAACAGGAGTGAGTGAAGGATGAACGTGAAGAAGGTACCACGTGAGCCACACCAGATTCCAATAAAAAATATGCAACCCAATAATCAGTCATGCACATTTAAAAAATAAACATTTATTAAATCATAAAATTTTAAAAATACAAAGCAGAGAGGAAACAATGAGAAAATCAGCAGGAAATGAACAGAAGAATGACACAAATCTGATAATAATGTATGGTTATATTTATATATATATTCTACTCTATTCAGACCATGCCATCTTTTGTCTGTTATGACAGAGGCATGGGGGGTAGGGACGAGAGAGAAAAAAAGAAACAGTGAGAGAGTAACGAGACGCAACGACCAACCTAGGCCGTCAGACAAACACAACAAGAGATTCTATCAGGAGTATTCCCCACAATACTGATGAAGCTGTCATGTCGGAACTTCACGGAAACCTGTCATGATATTTGAAATGTTTAGTAGAGGTTTTACAGCGCTCGCAACTGCATAAATGAGTGCCACGGGGTGGATGTTAACAGAGAAGTCCTTACAGGGAATCAGACTTACTCTGCTCACCTCTCTAGCTTCAACAGCACAAAGTCTGCTTCGACTATCAAGGCACCCCGAAAATAGCGGGTCACAAGAGTGTGACAAACATACAAAACAAGTAGAAGAAAAATGACGATAGAAGAAAAATGACAATAGTCAGGACTAGGAAAGAAAAAGCAGCAGTTCCCCCTTTGTTGTTCCGGTACAGTTATGAGCATGACATTGATAAATCAGTCCATTTAAAATTCTACTGTGCATAAGAATATGGTTAATATCCCCCCTTTGGGAATGGCCTAAAGACACTTCAGTCAGTAGCACAGCCCCGGGGATACAAGAGATTCATTCAGGAGCATTCCCCACAATAATCTGAAGCTGTCATGTTGGAACTTCATGGAAACCTGTCACGACAAACAGTCACACAGACAGTCACACAAACACAAGAGCAAAAAGAAGTAAAGCCTATCAGAGGCAACCTCAAACCACCCACCTAGAAAAAAGAAAATGGCTTACTTTCCACTGGACCCACATCTTGTCGGAATCTCCGGGCCGAGCAGGAGAGTCGGACACCCGTCGCGTTCTGACGGCACTCATGACACAACGACGGCACTCATGAGAGGCTGGTGATGGCGGTCCACGGGGCACTATGGGAGCCTGTGGTGTACGTCTGGCGGTCCGTGGGGCAATATGGGAGCCTGTCGTGTACGTCTGGCGGTCCGTGGGGCAATATGGGAGCCTGTCGTGTACGTCTGGCGGTCCCACGAATCACAGGCGATTAGGTGGTGGGGCTCACGTCTGCTCGCCGCCTCCGCCCCGTCCTCATTCTAACTGCCGGCTGGTACTGTTTGTTCGTTAGTCCACAATGTTCCGAGTAACAGAATAAAAAAACGTCGGTCGAAATGCCAGGTGGACGGCAAATCTTGCACTTTCTCACTTAAAACACCAGTGTTCTACGCATGCCACAATCAATGTGTACCGGTCCTGCAGAAAGGGAGAGGTGTATCACCACACATATACATACATACATACATACACATATAATGCTAACTTTGAGAATTCCGGAGTACCAAGCTGCTTTTAAAAACTTGTTTCAAATAAAATTTACAACTTTCTTGAGCACACAAAGACGACGGTTTTTTATTTTCCCTGCTTTACGAACCTCCTTCTCCCCCCCCCCCTAAAGAAAAATCAAGCCCCAGAGCAGCCATCCAACTACCCATTGGGCCCAGACCGTGGGAGTAAAAATAAACTTAAAAATTATTTTTTTTGGGGGGGGGGGGGGGGGGGGGGTCAGAATTTCACCAAATTTCCTAGCAGTATGGTGTTGATAATAACCCATCTCCTCAGGTCAAAGGAAGTATTTTCAGTCTAAGACTATCACACTATTCTTCAAGTATTATATTTCATTCTGTACTATCTCTTGGCATATCATGTAGCCTACCTCTTTCCAACTCCAATGCAACATTTTGCCTTTTTTTTCTGTTAGAAGACCAAGCAAACAATAAAAATGACAACTAAAAAAACCTCAAACAGCTAGTCAAGAATGTCTTACTGATGTCACAGATGATGGGCGTACATGATGATAGATGTCACGACAACGTGGAATCAGGCGCTCGTAAATTTTAGGATACTATGGAGATCCTGATTATCTTAGAACCAGTTCATTTGTCTTGCTTATATATGAAAAACAAACCCACCCATCTGTTTTGATTAGAAGTCCAGATATTTGCGATTGAAGGAGGTGTGGGGGTCGCCTGAATCAGATATAAAAGAAGCGAGAAAATGGCTGCCAAAGTTTGACTCCCTAGTTTTCTGCAGCCTCACTTTTGATTTTTGAATATACTTTTAAAAACTAAGATGCTAGCTTGACTTAGAAAGTTGAAGAACTTAACCTGCAGGATCGATAACAACAACAAGAACTTAACCTAGACCAGTAGTAGCCTACACTGTACAACATCTATCGTAGTAGTTAGTCTGGTGTCGCGAAGTGTAGTATCACCGCCGAGGAAACCTAGCCTGCTACTAGTTCTAGATACATAGTACCACAGGTTTAAGTCTTTAGTACTTTAGACTTGATGCTAAACTATTGCTGGGCTCACTACTCCACAACTCTGTTGTTGCCATCAGAGAATACAATAAAAACTGAGTGGAAGACTGGGGGAGGGTAGAGGTGCAAGACAACGACACCTTCCCACTTCAGTCTAGGATTGTCTCGTCGGGAACCGGTGAATCGTCTTATGGTGAATCGTCACACGAGATCACTGGAGGTGACGACTTCACCGTGGGACGAGTTAACTTGAAGCCGTCGCATGTCCCCAGCCCCAATCATCTGCAGTCTCACTTTTGATTTTTAAGGAAGAGGCTAGCCCTACTTAAAAGGCTAGACCACTTGGCTAGCGGTACTTAAACTTACGGCTAGACAGCTGGGCTAGCCGTACTTATTTTTAATTGATGGCTAGACTGACCAGACCAAAACAAAAACCAAAAAAAAAGGCCTACTGAATTATACATTTTTTAGGTTGCAGTACCTTTATTTTATTATACCTAAAGTTAAAGTATTTTTGTATTTGAGACGAAACCAGGTGCCTTAATGACAGTGCATGTATTTTAAACCTGAATTACTGAGACCTGTTTTCTAATGTTAATAGGGCCTTAGAAGATAAGTACGGCTAGACTGACAGACTAGCAGTACTTCACTTCGTTTTGTATTAAATTATAAAATAAATTTTCTAGATCTAGATCCAGATTTTAGATCTAGGCCTACTACGGCTCTTGCAGTAAGTGTTTTATGGCACGGCGCTCGCAGCTGGAAAAGTATTTAAATTTAGGAGCCTCTGTAGTCTGGTGTCAGTATAGAGTAGTAATTTTGTAGGATGGTGTCTAGATCTAGATCTAGTACTGTCTAGAATGACTATCTAGAACAAAATCTTAGATTTCTAGATTTAGATCTCTTACTCTAGAAAGAAAATGGAGCCGGAACCCTGCCCTTGGACTTGGTAGGCCTAAAATTTTACTCTCAGAGGATGCTAGATCTCGCCGGCCTTGACAGACTTGAGGAGGAGTAGATCTAGATCTCACTCAATCTAGGCTAGAAATCTACATCTCTAGATCTAGATATAATCTAGTAAAAACACATGCGATTAAACATGATAGAAAGGACGCAAACTATTTTTAAGTAAAGCACCCATCTTGTCAGACCAGGATACCCCTCCGATCACGTGACTACATCTAAGTATAGCCAACCGCATGGCATCAAAGATGGAAGTGTCTATGTATACATGGTGCTTAATCTACACCTTTCACTCGGAAGTTCTGATGGCTGAATAGACAGCGCGTCTGCGTCGGAAGTCGTGCAATGATTTTTGGAGCGGTTCGATCCCGGTCCCGGACAGTTTTTGGTTTTTTTCTCTTCTCCTCCTCCCGACTGACCAACAGTCGCATAAATTATAGGGCATAGGCCTAATTTGTAGAGCTGCTTTGAAGTTGTTGTTTTTTCTTTTTAAATATAGACCTATTAGCGATTAAAAATGCAGGAGAGGGGGGGGGGGTGGTAGATCTAGATCTAGATCTAATCCTCCTGCGTCTTTTACGGCAATTTTCGTGCCGTCTTCCATCATGTCCAAGACCAAGTTTAGTAGGCCTACTTCTAGATCTAGATCTATCTTGAAATCTAGCTAGATCTAGATCTAGAGTCTAGATTTCTAGATCTAATCTAGAGATACTAGATCTAGATCTAGGAAATCCGAAATGTTACCGAAAACACGTTGTTCCATGTGGCTATCCCAGTACTAAAATTAGCAGCCAATCAGAAAGATGCGTCTTTTCTACGTTTAACGACATGTGTTAAAAACCTTGACCCCTTAGCCCTAGCCTAGCCCTAGAGCCTAGACTCTAGTCCTAGACTCCTAGACTATTAGATATCTAATCTAGACCTAGCCTAGACTAAATTAGATCTATATCTAGACCTAGATATAGATCTAGATCTAATCTATATACCAGGGTAGAACTCATCATATCATTAGTAGATTTAACACTCTCTCTACCTGATCATAGAATAGACAACTACTCACCACAAAACTCTACCACTTGACAAGATCTAGATCTACATCTGTAGTCTGTACGGTAGGCTACTCACTGAAAGTGAAGTCGAAGTACTGAAGTCACTTGTTGACTACCGACGCTCCCAACTCTAGTCTCTAGATCTACACACCTTTGGTCAGAGAATGCAATAACTCACAAATAGCTTCAGAAACTCAAACAAAAGACGTCAGCATGAGATACTCACCGCACAACATGGAAAACACTAAACAGACATCTCCCCTGACAAGTTTTCGATAATGTAACACACCAGACTCCAGACACAAATTTATAATGACGCCATATTGTAAATAAATTATTGTAAAAATATTGGATCAGAAAATACGCCAAAACGAAGTTACCCGTCGATTGACGAGTGACCTCCAAATTATTTATAAATACTGTTTCAGAGCAGTTAACTCATATTTATTGTATTTTCTAACTTTTGAAATATTTAGATTTAACTGTTTTGTTGTATATACTTTATCATTTAATTTTTTAAATGTTGGCTTTTCCGTAACACAGCTCATTCGAAGCGTTGGTGACTTCATAATCTTACGACATCAGAGATATCATAATATGGGGAGATTGTTCACATCAGTGTGTTGGGGGATCTCGAAACGATGCAAAACCAGGAAACGGGATAGAAAGACTTTGTGATGACAGACAGAGGGGTGGGGG